ATAATATGTATGCATATGTTGAATTGCAATAATCCATTACATATTTCTTTCTGCTTCAAAGTTTTTCCAGAAAAATCAATAAAATTATTCATTTGAATTGTCACACTGACTTGTAAGAAAAACAGAACCATTTCATGTACTACATAAAGTGGTTCTATTGAGTGTTGCTTACAAGTTTAAAGTTGAATTTAATTTATTCTTTGTCGATAACATAGTGCTTTGAAATGTGAATATACCAAGATACTATCTTTCTGAATCATTCATCTATACTATTTATAGATACACAACTTATCTATATATTCAGGATGTCAATATTATTTTTTTTTTCCAGGATATCAATCTTGTCTGACACTGTAATAAATATCTGTCTTAAGGTGTATGTGAAGAAGTAGGTATCTGTATGAATTTTTTTACATGCTGTATTATAGAATTTTAAAAACATATGAATTGCATTTTTTTTTATAAATAAAGTGGTGTCTTGAAAATATACTTTATATTACTGCTTATCAAGGAAACCAAAACCTGGAGAGATTTGCCTTGAACAATTATATGTATTAGCTTTTAATACAGTCGACCCCCCCATAATGCGGTAGATACATTCCGCTTTTAAGAAATTCATGTTCTACGAGTCCTTAATTATTTAAATACATGAGCCAATCACAGCCCAGCACGTATGCAATTTATGGACTATAGCTATTTGAAAGGTTTTCTTCCATAAAATTAATCGATTTTAGACTAATTTGACTCAACGTTTCAAAAATACATATAATTTTTTGGGAATAATCCATATAAACTATGCTATAAACAAAAAATTGTAGGATTACTTACCGAGTGTGCACCGTTTGAAGACGCCATTGCTTAAGCTTGTTTTCGTTGTGCAGTGGCACATCAAATGGCAGGTGCGTGTTTCCTGATAAATTATTTTTCTGCGAAAAATTTGCTGAACTATGGAGACATCATTAATATAAATATAATTTTTATGAATGTTAAATAATAAATGGTTTTTAGTAGGTCCGCTGCTCGTTTAAACTCAACATTTTGTGCAATATCCACTATTGGACTAGATTCGACCAATCCTGTCGCGACGCAAATTGGCGATGACATTTTACCACATTTTAAAGTTTCTTTTAGCGTCTTTATAAAAATATGGTGGCAATTTTTTCGCCGCGATATGCAAATCCGCATTATATGAACCCGTTTTATGGGGGTTCTACTGTATATCAATGAGCACTTTACTTTTGTATATAGCACACATCTGATATACATTTATCTTCATTTTAATTTATGCTGCAACTTTAAAATAATCTGTAAATACTGTAACTCTCTGAATATGAAAACTGAAATATCCCTATTTCTCCTTCAGCTAATGGGACCACATTCCTGTGGGAGTCACTGTTGCACATCACTTTCATTTTCACCTCACTCTGTCCTTTGCCAAGTTATGAACAATTCAGAGCCACCATATCCTCAAATACACTATCAAACCATCATCTACTTGATCTATCTCCCAGGAAGATCAATCTTCATCACACATTTTCTGATTTAATCCAAAAGACTTTTCCACATGCTCGAACCACCACAATCTTGACTCTAATTTTATTAGAGATTTTTCTCAACTCTCAAAATCTCTCTCACTGTGCTACTTTTGATCTTGTTTCCCCTTTTCCATATGCCTTTTTGAGCATTTTCATTTCAACATCCAGTCTATTTGCATTTTTCTTAGTTAAAGGCAACATGCCCATCCCTACATTAAGGCAGGCATTACCACCAACTTATGAACCTTTCCTCTCGTGGAAAAGAAAAGTTTAAACTTAATATATTTGTGATGCATTTTGTTTAATAGATTATCTTCATATTCCTAATACATTCATAGATACAGGGTGGTTATAATTAAAGTTGCCCTACTCAGATCTGTATAGAGTCTGTTCTTGTTGATGTATTTTGATGAAACTTGGCAGAGTTCATATGCCTCCTCTATAGACATGATCTTTCAGATATCCCACAACCATACGGACTCTGCCTGAATTGAAAGCAAACATAACATGCCATATTGCTGCAATTTCTCAAGAAACCTATCTGGCTACTGTTGAACAAACTGTAAGGCGCTTTGAACATGTGATTGGCGCAAATATATTGCACATTGAACAAATGTCGTGAATAAAAACCTTTTGCATGTTTCCATTTTGTGTTTCTTGTTCATGAGCCATTTTCTCACCTAGTGATAGAAATTTGAACTAATTATTTTTTTTTGCATTTTCCTATTCTCCATTGTCCATATAATGTATATACCAAGTTTCATCAAAATACATCAACAAGAACAAACTCTATACAGGTCTGAGTAGGGCAGTTTTAATTATAACTACCTTGTACTTGTTATGCAATTGGTATATAATTTTTTTATTTCATCCTAAGAATTTTAATGTGACTAATATCTTCAAAAAAATACTCTAAATTTAAAAGGAAACAAATATTTACTTGAATGGAATTTAAAAAGAGAATTTTTTTTCTTTTGTTCCCTTTTTTAGATGTTTTGAACCTGTATTCATTATCAGGAATGCTTAGGGGATCATAGAATATTACTACTATACAAGCATGTTAAGACTATTCTACTATAGAAACAAAAACTAATGAAATAAAAGGAAAACTCCAGGGAGAAATAGTTATGCAGTTATTAAACTTAAATTCCATACTTTTGTGGCTGGCATTATAAAGTTAACATTTTAAAATATTTTAATTTTTGTTCTTGTAATAACATAGTTGTTTTGTAACATTCGTGACATAATGCAAGTCTGCAAGCTGTAGAAGTTTTTGTTTAAGTCTTCAGTAATTAAAGCAGATGTTAGTATTATTTTTTTTTTAGTTAATATAATGATGATGAATAGTAACTACTTTTGCTTTAAATTCTGGATATGCTTTGCTGATGGCTGATACAATCAAGCAATATTACATAACATCTAGGCTGTGTTTTTTTAAATTTGTTACAGTTGTTATATGTGTTTCAAATTATCTCATATATTTTAGTTAATATAATGCAACAAATAATATATGGTGGAATGAATTTTTAAATGCTGTGTAATAATCGTAAAATTGAAAAATATGATACAGATACCTGAGTAAAATTTGAACTTTATTTACATTATTTGAAAGAAAAACAACCCGTTTCTTACAACATTACATGAAAAAGAAATTCCATATGCAATAATAAACGAAAATACAGAAATTAATAGTAATGGAGAATAAACATTTAAATAGAATACAGTAACAGTGATCTGAAATGAACAATTTGATTAGCTGAGCTATTTAAAACTAGATCTAAAGATAGAGCTCTGAGCTGAATTAATCAATACACCTTTAACAGTGGGTTAAGTTTAAAGAACCCAAGGTGCATTGATCAATTCAGCTGAGTAATTACAGGCTAGTTCATCCTTATTAACAGAGCTACAGTGTTTAATATTAAAAAATAAACTGCATTTATATAATAATTTACATAAAGTGTAGTTATATTCTTTGTTTTATAGTGTAAATTATGAAGTTTTCCCATTAAAGAAACTTCATTTTGATGATGTCATTTTTATTAAAAGTTTATACTCTATACAGAGGTATATTAAATCTATTGAAAAATTAAATTCAAGTCTTAAGAGATAGGTATGTTTTCTTTTAACAAATTAGAAATTAAATAAGAGATACAATATCTAGATTATACAAAGGAAAATTTTTCTAAATAAATAAAATAAATATTCAAAATTTTTAATGTTATAATTAAATTATTATTGCAAATCTATCAAAACTTTCACATGTGATTATATACTATGTAGAAATCATAAAAGTTACTGTTGTAAAATATTTGATTGTTCAATAAAAATGTATTTTTGTTTTGGTTGTATGAATTATGCCTAATTGGCTTTAGTTTAAAAAAATTTAATTAAATTATGCATACAATTTTAATAATCTTAATTAAATTAATATTTAATAAGATAAAGTTTTTACATGATGAATATTATAGTAAAATGTAATTTAGTTGCAGTAATTCTAAAAGGAAAAAGTTAGGTCTTTTTCCTTTTAAATTAATCAGAATTTTAATTTCAGTAAAATCAACTTAAAATTAGACTTAAATGTAGACTTGAATGTATTTTCTGATTAATTGAAATTTTATTCTACTAGATATTTTCAATGTGAAAAAAAAAATTACATTAAAATGTAAACTTGCTGATGAATGAATTAAAACTGAAGATTATATATACTATAATTAATTGTCAAAGCAGGAATGGAGATGAATCACAAAGCAAACACCATTAATACTTTTCCAGCAAACAATTTACAAAAAATAAATGACCATTTCCAGCTTATTTAAGAAGCTGGCTTCAGGTTCAGCTGCTGAATTTATATTTGTGAAATTCTAAATATCTTAAATTCAGCAGCATAACCTTCAATAACCTCTACATCTCACCTCTAAATAGCAGCCACTTTATATGCATGTTTATAAAAGGAAAAATAAAATAATAATAACAGCCATTTTTTATTATTATGTTCCTCCTGTCAGTGGCCATTGTTCAGGAGTTTGACTGTGTTATATTTTAAATGTTAAATAGATTGTAAAAAAAAAATAAATGTTAGTCTATTATGTTATTACAGACAGTAATAAAATTTATTTATCTGTAAATATAGTTAAAAAGTAATTATATTTTTTGTAATTATTGAGGAAGTATCTTTAAAAATTGTTTTATTATTCATGTTTTTCCTTATGGTTTCCTTTCTTTATAATTTTTTTTCTCTGTAAATAGATTTATAATTTTCCTCTCATGATATAACTATCTTTTTCTTCTCTCTTAAATTTTGATGTTTATTATTATGGTTGTATTCTGAAATATAATATAATAGAGCGGAATTAACAACTTTTATTATAACTGTATTTTATGTTTGGGCTCATATGTCATAATTACAGCAATTACAAGAAAATATATATTACTTAGTTTATACAATTGATTTTATGATATTTACAGATTAGAAAAATTCTCAAAAAAAAATTATGGGAAAGATCACCTGAAGAAATAAATGAACTTCAGCAATGCTCTCAAATTGTTGACGAAATTCAGTCAAGAATGAAAAAAAGATTATGTATGGTTGAAAGATTAAAAGAAGTAAGAAACTTGAAAAATGTATAAAAGTAGTCCCATTTTAAATGGAACAAATGTCTCAAACTAAGCAATTGCAGGGGAAATGTTTTTAGCAAAAGTTTTATGGGCCAAAGAAGAAGTGTGACTGTTAGTCAAGGTCATGAAGAGTGCAATATTTGGGAATATAGCAGAAAATGTTTTTGTTTTTCAAGTGGAAACCCTAACTGTCCATCTGTGAACAAGAGAACTACAGTTGGCAGAGTGCCAATAAAAGTCAGTTCCACATCAAAGGGGAGAATGGTTTTGTCATTAGTGGTTATTGTAACATGTAAACAAATCAATGCTCTCTCCATTCACTATATCAACACTTTGCATTTTTGCTTCGGTAGCTAGACTTTTCTTTTATTAAATAGTTTGACTTTGTAGTTTTCCTTATTTTTATTTATATTGCAGATCCATCAGTTCTTTCAACAAGTGTTTCTGTTAAATGTTTTCAATGGGTCTTGTGGGAGAAAAAATCTTCATAATGTCTGATATTCTGCAAAAAAAAAAAAAAAAGCATTAGAAGTCTCCTTGTTTAGACTTCTCAGATGTGCAAGTGAAAATGTGGATGTTTAGGAATCTATTATTAAAAGAATTCATATGGGGGAATCAAAAGTGAATATGTAAGCTAAAATTTGATTTTCCTAGAAAAGTTTCAGAGAAAGAGAACCTCTCTTAGATAATTTTTGTGTTGATGTTAAGTTACAAGAACAATTCATAAATTTTATGCAGTTAAGAAAAAGTGCTTACTGTTCCTAAATTGATTCTTGTGCTGAAAGAAAAATTTAGACATTGTTAATTCTGGCAATACATTATCAGACAATGATGCAAAAAGTGTAAAATGTATCAGCATGGCTTATATTTTAGCCTGATTTTTTTTTAATGTGTGTACTTTAACATGGAAACTCCTGCTTCTGAGTTTACTATTTGATTTTTTGCTATATCTCTAAAAATTTGATCTCTGACCTCAACTGACAAAGTAGCATTCCACTTTCTGGTCCCTACAACATTTGTTAAAACATGCTTTTGGTATTGCTTACTTTTCAAGACATTTGATTGTTCTGTTTAAAAATGGGCATATCGTATAATGTTAAAATTATCTAAAATATCTACTTTACTTCGTAACTTAGATAGAAGATAAGCCTGACACATTATCTAAAAAATGTTGGCAGTTAGCTCAAGCAATCAAAGAAGCCCAGTCATTAATAATTTATACAGGAGCAGGAATAAGCACTGTAAGTTAGTTAAAGTTACATTATTTTAACTTTTATTATCATATAACAAATTTATATTTTATAAATCAGGCTGCCGAAATTCCTGATTACCGTGGTCCAGCTGGTGTATGGACATTACTCCAGCAAGGAAAGTCAATAAGGTAGAAATTTTAAATGTTTCAATATTTAAAAGCATACTTTTTACTTTTTAATTAAAAATTTTTCTCTCTACATTTAGAAACTGTTTTATAATGATTAATTCCTAAGAAAAAAATGATAATTCCTCTCTCTTATTGAATATAAACTCAAGCCCAGTCATTAATAATTTATACAGGAGCAGGAATAAGCAGTGTTATATTATAAATTAATAACTTGTTTAATCATATAATTAGAATGCTAAACCTTCCAAATACCCAAATAAGTAATAAAATCTATTATAATAAGTAACTTAACTTTTTTTGTAAATTTCCAGATTTACAAAAATTCTATGGGTGTATTGCTGTGCAATAAAACATTGTCCTACCATTAATTAAATCCTCTATCCATCTTTGTAACCCATTATGAGTTAGATCTAGATGACAATAAGCATTAGTTCAAATCCAATTTAAAAATTCCAATATAGTGTATAGTTATTTAAAAAATTTTTTGGAAATTACTGAAGAAATATATTTTGAATTAAACATTTTTTTGAAATCAAGTTTTACACGTATCTATATAGCAGACATGGGTAAATGCGGCTCTTTTTGAGTTACATGCAGCTCTTGCTGAAAGTGTTAATTTTTGCTTTTTATTATTTTTTTTACAATTTTATTTCCACAGTTTTGTGAAAATATGTTTATTAAAAAATTCAATATTTGTTTTATATTATATGTATATTAGAAATCATGGTACAGAGTAAAAATGTACAGAACTGTAGCTCTCATACATTTTGCAAAACCTACATTTCGGCTCCCACTGAACTCTTGCTTGCCCATCCCTGCTATATAGTTTCTAGGTTATAGCTGGTCTTCGCAAATTCACTCATGATCAAAATAATATCTATTTTCCCTATTGTATACAGTTTTCCTTAGCAATAAAAATACTTCTAATTGTTCTATACACTTTTTAAGAGTCTGATTTTATATAAAAATGCCTTGCTTTTTATATGAATAGGACAGCAGAATTGTCATAAATACCAACTGGAAAGGAATGACCAAAGCAAAAAAGTAAACCAAAACCAGTTATGTGAATTTGAACCCGAGATCACATGCAAGAGTGACGATTTTCTGCACATACTAGTTTTTTGTGGACATTTTTCATCTGACTGACTGACTGACTGACTTGTGGTTCTATGATATCCTCATGCCATTCATTTAACTGTGTAAAAGTTTTGGTCAAAAAATTTTTTTCTGCCTATCATAGGCCCTCAAAAAACCACTGCTTAAATTTGCCATCTTGTGCATGCAATTGTGTAAACTTTTTTCCCCACATGATTGCATGCATAGCAATTGTCTGCTCTTATATCATTTTTGGTGGTTTGATGTCATCAAAAATGGCATCATAAGCACTCTCATGATTGCTGCAAGAGGCAATTATCACATCATGGATATCACTGTGACCTTGAATGCTTCTCTCCATAAAGCCAGGGGTGGTTTATGACCTTCAACAAGATAAATGTTTTCTTGTCTTATTTGTGCCCAAAAAAAAATACAGAAAAATCATTTTATGATCCTTCTGAGAAACATGTCAGCTTTTTTATCATTTATTTCCAGCTAAATTCATTTCTCATTAGCCATTAGCCACTAGCATGGGTTAATGAGAAACGAGTTCAGCTGTTCACAAAGTTTCGAGGGCTGCCATAGGGAGGACATTTTTCTAATAACAAAACAATATCTCATAAACTAAACAGCATGTGATGCTGAAATTTGGCAAGTGCAGAGAAGACACATCACAGGACTTTTCAGAATCATCTGATTCAAGAAACAGCAATTATGTGCAATGTAATTGCGTGTGGAAAATTGCCACTTTATGAATGTATACATGTTAAAAAACCATGTGATCACGGGTTAATCATATTACTTTCATTATAAAATACTTAAAATCATTATTTAGTTATTTTTGTTTTGTATTCTTGCTAAATTTTAATATTCTTAATAAAAAGGGTCCAAGATCTGAGTAGTGCAGATCCTACATATACGCACATGGCAATTACCACACTTTATCAGGAAGGCTTATTGAAGCACGTTGTGTCTCAAAATTGCGATGGATTACATCTTCGGAGTGGTCTACCATGCAATGTTCTTTCTGAAGTCCATGGAAATATGTATATAGAGGTAAATTATACTCATATTCATTTTTAATTGTAATTAACTATTAATAATAATTCATTGTCATAATGTTTTCCCTTCTTCATCTTTTATTGTTTAACTCAACTGTTACATAGGTATGTACAAAGTGTAAACCTTTGCGCCAATATGTTCGGTTATTTGATGTTACTGAGCATACGGGTTTACATCGGCATAAAACATCACGGAGGTGTCACAGATGCATGGAGCCACTTCAGGATACCATTGTCCACTTTGGCGAGCGGGGTAGACTACGTTGGCCACTAAATTGGGAAGGAGCCGTCAAAGCCGTAAACAAATGTGATGCTATACTCTGTCTAGGAACTAGTTTAAAGGTAATGTATGAAAACTGTGATACATTTATCAGAGAATTGATTTTTATTCATAGATTTATATAACAAAGAATTCTAGATCTTATTTATATGTTGTATTTTTAGGTATTAAGACGTTATCCCTGCCTTTGGGCTAAAGACAGACCACCTAGTCTTCGACCAAAATTATTCATTGTGAATTTACAATGGACTCCAAAAGACGATCAAGCAGTTTTGAAAATTAATGGTAACATCATATTACTTATTTGAATTGTTAAGATTTTTATTTTTTTTTATTATATACTGTTGCTATAATTTGATTTGCATGTGTAAATCATTATTGTAATTTTTCAATAAATTATACAGATACAATTTATAAGTGATGCCTCAAATATGTTCTGATCTGCAATTTGACCCAGGGCCATACTTTGGGTACTGCTGATCTAAACAATGAATAAAAATATAATCATATGGGGAAAAATTGGGACTTTCTATTTTAGCTGACTAAAAAGTCTGATAAACAAGTTCTAAGTTTTCCTGTATGTAAAATGTTCCCATTTAAGAAAATTTTCCACTTAGACAGAAATACTTGTTCATGACTAGAAAATGGGTTCACTTAAGTTTTTCAACTACAACATACTATTGAAAATTTTTTACATTTAATTGTAAAAAATTAGATTAGGAAATGGTTAAAATTGTGTCACTGGTCACTGCATGTTCAACTTTGGGCTGCGTTGAACACAGATTTTACAATTTTCAAGCTCTGACAAGTGCCATCAATACATGAGTGATACTATAAATCTTCAACAAATTTTAGTACAGTATTTGTAGATTTGTGATTTTGTTTATGGAAATCACAAAATGCATTTTTTTTTCCCCTTACTTTCTTTTTTTATCAATACATAAGAAATCTGATGAAGTAGATTATACTAGATGAATATCTAAATAAATAAGTACTGTATATAAGCTTACTTCACTGTAATGATCCTCAGACAGAATTTATTACATTTAGACCTGTAAAACTGAGATTAATTGTGTAAGTAAATAAGCATTTATGTTAAACATTACTGATGTATTTGCTTAGTTAAATTTTGGATTTAGTTCTGAATTTTAACAAAATAAAACTTTTATATTTTTTAATTAAAATATTCATTTTCCATTTTACATTATAGGAAAATGTGATGATGTAATGAAAATGATTATGGGTTATTTAGGATTAACCGTTCCACAGTATGACAAGTATGTGATCTTGATACGTCTAGATATTTATAAATTTGATGTTCAACTCTAAGTTTTTTTATTATTATTTTTTTTTTATATTTTAGATACTGTGATCCCATATTTAGCATTGCCACGGATTTATTACCGGGAGAAGAAAATATTACTTCAAGAAAACCACTCGTACGAACAGATCCAAATAAAAAAATTCTTCGTTCAGATCTATTCAACAAGATGGACATAGAGTCAAAACAAACAATTGAAATATTATGCTTAGACCATTGCTATGCAAGAGACAGTATGTACTACATAACAAAGAAAAATTTATTAGACTCAGATCAAACTCTCGCGCCAAGTAACCTCGACAACGATCCAAAGTTACTGAAATCCAATTATTACAAGGAGTTATGTGATAATTTAAAAACGGATAAATGCGTGGATTATCAAGATTCAGAACTGAAAGCAGAAGAGAAAGAAGATCTCTCGACGACCAAGGTTGGAACAAGCGGATGGTACGGTAAGGGTCAGAGAAAGTGGCGGAGATCAAAAAAGAAGAGATTATGATAAAGTGATGTATTTATAGCTTATTTAAATTACAACAAGAGTACAAACATAAAAAGCTCATCGATTTTTGTGGTTGTTACACCACCCTAATATATTTTTATTATGCTTGGGTGTATGTGGTTAAGTAAATGTATATATGACATATACATTTTGTTGAAACTCATTGATGATAACAGGAGGAAAAAAATCACGTTGTTTTTTATTTATTTTAAACAGATATTTTCAAACATTCCAATTACTTTTTTATAATTTTCTTTCCTCCCTTATAATTTTTTTAATATTTTTAAACTTATGAAATAATGATGTAACAAGTGAAACTAGAATGTTTAAACTTTGTCAATTCAAGAAAAAGAAATTTAGTAAGTATATGTGATAGATAAAAATTAATGTAATTTAATAGGAATTTAGAAAATCATTTCCATCTCTTTTTTTACACTAGTTTTTGTATTTTTTATTTCCGTAAATCATTCCAAACTTTGCCAAGCATGTAAGGTAAACCAGCACAAACTACTGATGCAAGGTGAAAATGGGGTTTCTTTTGTATATAAAGAAAAAACTTTTTGGCCTTCTGGCATAGTCTTATATAAACTTTTGTAAAATCTTTAAATATTTAAAAAGTTGTCCGTAGAATATTAAAAGTGTTTTTTTGAAAATTAACGTACAGGCACGAGTCAGTTGCAACTTTTTTGTAACATAAAAATAGTGATTTTTGTTAGAAAATCGAAATATTGGACGATTTTTACGAAGTGATATATGTTGTTAGTAATTTGCTCAATTAGTCAATACTTTTTTTTCCTCGTATCACTTCTTTAAACGGGTCATGTTGAATTTATATGTTGTTGCACATGGACCATAAATGTGAAAATTTTGAATAAAAATTTAATGTCTTAAAACCAGCCAGTTTAATTTAGTATTTTCTGAATTTTACACACAATTTTTATTTGAATTGGATGGAGAACTTTATTTAAAAAAAAAAAAGCTATTCTTTGCTAAATTTCAGAGAAAAATTACTCATTCTGGATTGAGTTGCTTTTGCATTATTAATTAAGCTAAATTTTTTAAACCCACTACACTATATTGATGGCCAGATAGCTGAGAAGTTAAAATGTCTATTGCTATGGAGATTGAATCTGGATGGGATGAAAAACCCCAGGAATTTTTTGGAGGGTAGGCTGTCCAAATATGCCAGATCCTGTCCCTTGCTGTCACATTGTGGGCCTGGCAAAACTCATGATGGACTTGCTAAAAAGACTGTCTTAGTGCCCATAGAATAGTGTTTAAAAAACCATACTATATTCAAATTGATTTTAATGATTTTGTTCTATGAACTATCATTCTGCTTTCATGTTTAATGTGTTGTCATTTAATTCCAGATAATTTTTTGATAGTTTCTACTGCTAATGATATGGTATCAGAACATAAACACAACCAATCAATCCACCCATAAATCTGGGTGGATTGCCTGGTAGAGTTTATTTTAATACTGAGATGAAATTTGTGGATGATCATTGCTTACAAATATTTTTCCTCTAGCACAAGGTGTGTGTAAACGGATATAAAAACTAGCCTAATTTAGAATCTAAGCACTAATATACAGCTAGGAACTTTATTTAGGGTTTCTCATTTTCCGGTCTTTTTGCTTATTCCGGGATAAAAGTGAACTTTCCCTTGATAGAATNCCGTTTTATGGGGGTTCTACTGTATATCAATGAGCACTTTACTTTTGTATATAGCACACATCTGATATACATTTATCTTCATTTTAATTTATGCTGCAACTTTAAAATAATCTGTAAATACTGTAACTCTCTGAATATGAAAACTGAAATATCCCTATTTCTCCTTCAACTAATGGGACCACATTCCTGTGGGAGTCACTGTTGCACATCACTTTCATTCACCTCACTCTGTCCTTTGCCAAGTTATGAACAATTCAGAGCCACCATATCCTCAAATACACTATCAAACCATCATCTACTTGATCTATCTCCCAGGAAGATCAATCTTCATCACACATTTTCTGATTTAATCCAAAGGACTTTTCCACATGCTCGAACCACCACAATCTTGACTCTAATTTTATTAGAGATTTTTCTCAACTCTCAAAATCTCTCTCACTGTGCTACTTTTGATCTTGTTTCCCCTTTTCCATATGCCTTTTTGAGCATTTTCATTTCAACATCCAGTCTATTTGCATTTTTCTTAGTTAAAGGCAACATGCCTATCCCTACATTAAGGCAGGCATTACCACCAACTTATGAACCTTTCCTCTCGTGGAAAAGAAAAGTTTAAACTTAATATATTTGTGATGCATTTTGTTTAATAGATTATCTTTATATTCCTAATACATTCATAGATACAGGGTGGTTATAATTAAAGTTGCCCTACTCAGATCTGTATAGAGTCTGTTCTTGTTGATGTATTTTGATGAAACTTGGCAGAGTTCATATGCCTCCTCTATAGACATGATCTTTCAGATATCCCACAACCATACGGACTTTGCCTGAATTGAAAGCAAACATAACATGCCATATTGCTGCAATTTCTCAAGAAACCTATCTGGCTACTGTTGAACAAGCTGTAAGGCGCTTTGAACATGTGATTGGCGCAAATATATTGCACATTGAACAAATGTCATGAATAAAAACCTTTTGCATGTTTCCATTTTATGTTTCTTGTTCATGAGCCATTTTCTCACCTAGTGATAGAAATTTGAACTAATTATTTTTTTTTGCATTTTCCTATTCTCCATGGTCCATATAATGTATATACCAAGTTTCATCAAAATACATCAACAAGAACAAACTCTATACAGGTCTGAGTAGGGCAGTTTTAATTATAACCACCTTGTACGTACTTGTTATGCAATTGGTATATAATTTTTTTTATCTCATCCTAAGAATTTTAATGTGACTAATATCTTCAAAAAAATACTCTAAATTTAAAAGGAAACAAATATTTACTTGAATGGAATTTAAAAAGAGAATTTTTTTTCTTTTGTTCCCTTTTTTAGATGTTTTGAACCTGTATTCATTATCAGGAATGCTTAGGGGATCATAGAATATTACTACTATAGAAGCATGTTAAGACTATTCTACTATAGAAACAAAAACTAATGAAATAAAAGGAAAACTCCAGGGAGAAATAGTTATGCAGTTATTAAACTTAAATTCCATACTTTTGTGGCTGGCATTATAAAGTTAACATTTTAAAATATTTTAATTTTTGTTCTTGTAATAACATAGTTGTTTTGTAACATTCGTGACATAATGCAAGTCTGCAAGCTGTAGAAGTTTTTGAAGCTTGTAATTAAAGCAGATGTTAGATATTATTTTTTTTACAGTTAATATCATGATGATGAATAGTAACTACTTTTGCTTTAAATTCTGGATATGCTTTGCTGATGGCTGATACAATCAAGCAATATTACATAACATCTAGGCTGTGTTTTTTTAAATTTGTTACAGTTGTTATATGTGTTTCAAATTATCTCATATATTTTAGTTAATATAATGCAACAAATAATATATGGTGGAATGAATTTTTAAATGCTGTGTAATAATCGTAAAATTGAAAAATATGATACAGATACCTGAGTAAAATTTGAACTTTATTTACATTATTTGAAAGAAAAACAACCCGTTTCTTACAACATTACATGAAAAAGAAATTCCATATGCAATAATAAACGAAAATACAGAAATTAATAGTAATGGAGAATAAACATTTAAATAGAATACAGTAACAGTGATCTGAAATGAACAATTTGATTAGCTGAGCTATTTAAAACTAGGTCTAAAGATAGAGCTCTGAGCTGAATTAATCAATACACCTTTAACAGTGGGTTAAGTTTAAAGAACCCAAGGTGCATTGATCAATTCAGCTGAGTAATTACAGGCTAGTTCATCCTTATTAACAGAGCTACAGTGTTTAATATTAAAAAATAAACTGCATTTATATAATAATTTACATAAAGTGTAGTTATATTCTTTGTTTTATAGTGTAAATTATGAAGTTTTCCCATTAAAGAAACTTCATTTTGATGATGTAATTTTTATTAAAAGTTTATACTCTATACAGAGGTATATTAAATCTATTGAAAAATTAAATTCAAGTCTTAAGAGATAGGTATGTTTTCTTTTAACAAATTAGAAATTAAATAAGAGATACAATATCTAGATTATACAAAGGAAAATTTTTCTAAATAAATAAAATAAATATTCAAAAATTTTTATGTTATAATTAAATTATTATTGCAAATCTATCAAAACTTTCACATGTGATTATATACTATGTAGAAATCATAAAAGTTACTGTTGTAAAATATTTGATTGTTCAATAAAAATGTATTTTTGTTTTGGTTGTATGAATGATGCCTAATTGGCTTTAGTTTAAAAAAATTTAATTAAATTATGCATACAATTTTAATAATCTTAATTAAATTAATATTTAATAAGATAAAGTTTTTACATGATGAATATTATAGTAAAATGTAATTTAGTTGCAGTAATTCTAAAAGGAAAAAGTTAGGTCTTTTTCCTTTTAAATTAATCAGAATTTTAATTTCAGTAAAATCAACTTAAAATTAGACTTAAATGTAGACTTGAATGTATTTTCTGATTAATTGAAATTTTATTCTACTAGATATTTTCAATGTGAAAAAAAAAATTACATTAAAATGTAAACTTGCTGATGAATGAATTAAAACTGAAGATTATATATACTATAATTAATTGTCAAAGCAGGAATGGAGATGAATCACAAAGCAAACACCATTAATACTTTTCCAGCAAACAATTTACAAANGACTATTCTACTATAGAAACAAAAACTAATGAAATAAAAGGAAAACTCCAGGGAGAAATAGTTATGCAGTTATTAAACTTAAATTCCATACTTTTGTGGCTGGCATTATAAAGTTAACATTTTAAAATATTTTAATTTTTGTTCTTGTAATAACATAGTTGTTTTGTAACATTCGTGACATAATGCAAGTCTGCAAGCTGTAGAAGTTTTTGTTTAAGTCTTCAGTAATTAAAGCAGATGTTAGTATTATTTTTTTTTTAGTTAATATAATGATGATGAATAGTAACTACTTTTGCTTTAAATTCTGGATATGCTTTGCTGATGGCTGATACAATCAAGCAATATTACATAACATCTAGGCTGTGTTTTTTTAAATTTGTTACAGTTGTTATATGTGTTTCAAATTATCTCATATATTTTAGTTAATATAATGCAACAAATAATATATGGTGGAATGAATGTTTAAATGCTGTGTAATAATCGTAAAATTGAAAAATATGATACAGATACCTGAGTAAAATTTGAACTTTATTTACATTATTTGAAAGAAAAACAATCCGTTTCTTACAACATTACATGAAAAAGAAATTCCATATGCAATAATAAACGAAAATACAGAAATTAATAGTAATGGAGAATAAACATTTAAATAGAATACGGTAACAGTGATCTGAAATGAACAATTTGATTAGCTGAGCTATTTAAAACTAGATCTAAAGATAGAGCTCTGAGCTGAATTAATCAATACACCTTTAACAGTGGGTTAAGTTTAAAGAACCCAAGGTGCATTGATCAATTCAGCTGAGTAATTACAGGCTAGTTCATCCTTATTAACAGAGCTACAGTGTTTAATATTAAAAAATAAACTGCATTTATATAATAATTTACATAAAGTGTAGTTATATTCTTTGTTTTATAGTGTAAATTATGAAGTTTTCCCATTAAAGAAACTTCATTTTGATGATGTCATTTTTATTAAAAGTTTATACTCTATACAGAGGTATATTAAATCTATTGAAAAATTAAATTCAAGTCTTAAGAGATAGGTATGTTTTCTTTTAACAAATTAGAAATTAAATAAGAGATACAATATCTAGATTATACAAAGGAAAATTTTTCTAAATAAATAAAATAAATATTCAAAATTTTT